ACACACACACACACACACACACACACACACACACACACACACACACACACACACACACACACACACACACACACACAGTGCTGTCATTAGGATAAATGGAGGTTGGAAGTGACATTTCCTCATGTTGTTGCACGATCACTTTCCTCCGGGTTAACAAATTCACAAGCGCAGCGTCTTTGTATGCGGGTTTGTGTGTGTGTGTGTTCTCTTTGGATATTGAATGGTGTTGCTAGTTCAGTTTTAGTTGCATCTAACTACAAATGTGAAATGATAAAAGAAGTTCAACCTAAAAAAGTTAGACACGATTCAGGTAACAGAACTTTTGCTATGTATTGCATAATGTACGTTGTGCCGCTTGAAATAATTGTGAAAGGTGTTGATGTGATTCATGAGGCAGTAAGCTGAGGTGTGCATATATAATATCTAACCAGAAGTCATTTCACACTTGAAAGCTTGAGATTATATCCTCTTTTATTTTCAGGAATGTGATATTAATTTAGGAATGTGGGCTAGTGTAAAGAAGCACAGTTTTGCTCAGATCTGCCCACACACACAAACACACAAAGTCTGTCTTGCTTTCACACTAATGTCTCACTTGCTGTGTTATTATCTTCAGGCTTCCCCCTCTCACCTCATTAAAGTGTAAGGTATGTTTCCTCTGTTAATCTTGGCCACAAGAGGAGAAAATGCACCACTTTAATGAATTTTAACACCGGCACAACTCAACTCATTAGCATGCCTGAAAAACGTTCAGTATGTTGGTGTTTATATCAAAACAATTGCCTCTAATTGTGAAGAAAAAATCTTGTTGAGTGTCACATACCTCTGTGTACTGTTCTGCCTGTGAGAGCTCCTCGAACAGAGAAGGTGCGATTTAATCTCAACCTTGTACCCTTTGCTCAAAGCAAAGCGTGACTTCCACAGTTTATCTAAAAAAGAATTCAGGGACATCCCACTCTTTCTGTATTCTCATTACATTTCCCAACATGAACTGTAAGTGTCGGCATCGGTTTTTGAAAAGGGAGCACTTTATTTGCTTCTGAAGGCCTTCCTATATCCAAGGTCTTTCTATAATTGTGTGAAACAGGCTTTCCACTTGGGACTTCTGTGATTCACATACTATCAGCATGCAGTCTGATGTTGTTCCCGATCAATGCTGCCCCCTACTGGGTAAAAAAACAACCTGCAAGTCTCACAGTGTAATTATCTACTGATCCTGAACGGCCCTGATTAAACAGACCATGGCTATGATGTGACATGCAATTTGCAAATGTAACACATTTTCTTCATCAGTGTCTTTTCATGTCACCATACATGAAGGTTATTCTGATGACTTCCACACAGTAAGAGGTACACATTTGAAATGCATGGAGGAAGAGCACTGATATTGCATCAGCATCACTCAGGCATTGGTATCAGGAGATTTAGCATGATATATGGGATGTGTGGGACTTCCACTAGAACTTTTTTGCAATGACAAGCTAGCATTAGGTCCAAGTTTGATCAATGTCAAGTTTTACATTTTAGGAAATACTCTAGATGAGCCCAATGCTATTGGCATGACATTATTTCCTTTTTCTTTCTCCATGTCTCCAGGTGCTTTTAATAAGAACTTGCGAGCACCTGAAGTGGTCTTCAAAGTGATCTTCTGGCTGGGCTACTTCAACAGCTGCCTGAACCCCATCATATACCCCTGCTACAACCGCGAGTTCAAGCTGGCCTTCATCCGCATCCTTCGATGCCAGTGTCACCAGCGTAAACGCCCCGGCTGGAAGGCCTACAATTACCGCTCCTCGAACATCAGCTCCTCCGGAAACTCTCGCAAAGGATCAACGGATCACAACTCCAGCTGCTTAAACGGCAGCCAGCGTACTCTGCCGTCCTCAGCCAGCCCGAGCCCCAGTTACCTGAGCAAGGGTCTCCCTCCTTGCCCTGAGGGGGAAACGTTATACATCTGGGGGGGCTCCACCCCAACTCCCTCCACACCCAACCTGCTGCCCGGCAGCCCTGCAAACTGCCAGCTGGGAGATCTGAGAGGGGAGGTCAGAGGAAGGAAACCATCTGAGGAGACTACTGGGGGTATCTTCTCTTTCTCCTTTGGTAGAAACAGAGACAAGGGAGGGATCCACAAGGACGACATGTTGCCTGATGACAAGGTGTGACTGCTGCTGAGTGTCGCTGACGTCTGGCTCACTCATTCCTCACAGGGATTAAAGTCAATAACAGTGCAGGAGCGTAGGATTTCCCAGGTTTGCGCTATTCACTGTAAATGATCATTCATCAGTCAATGGATTGTCGTTGTCAATGTGAGGTGAAGGTAACTGAGTATTGACTATGCTGCTGTATCAGAGGTATTTTGTCCTATTTATCTGTGTTTGACATAGACAGGAAGGTTTCGCTCAACGGACAGTAAGGGGTTCAAACTGTTAATCAAAATCACTGTTCTCCACGCTCTTTGGTACAGGAAAGACACCAGTGCATTCATTTGGGAGGAGAACAGGAAAGACATTTGAAGGAAAAAGGACACGTTTTCAGAAACCCAACACTGCCTTCCCTGTAAATAAAAATTCCTGTCTGCCCTAAAAAGACTGACAGAACCTTTCTCATGTGAAAAGTGTGATAAGACAATTGATCACCTTTATGCTGCAGTCACTTGTTGGTATGTTGTGAAAATAAAGTATAACCTGGTTTATCTGCTGTGCGTACAATTATCAGATATCATCTTGTTGTTTTGTTTGTTGTTTGAAAAAGTACTGAATATTGTGATTAGAAATGTGATTGTTGATATGAATAAACATAGAAGGTTACTCTAATTCTGGTCTGTAACACTTCCTTTTTTTAAATGTAAATAGAATGTGTACCCTCATAATGTGAATGATCATACTCTATAATGTTCATGTTGATGTCGCAATGGTTATGGTTTATTTCAAGCGGGGAAGTGTCCTGAATCCTAAGACAAGGCCACAGTTGTGAGGTTCTTCAGTAAAAGGCAATCATGAGGCTTTTACTTAGAGGAACACGTCCAGTGAGCAGAGGTAAATACTAAGCTTTATTGCTTAAAATACCTTAGATCACAACTCCACTATAAGACATTTAACGATATATACCAACCTGTTCACTGACCTTACAGCCCATTGACTCCTGGTACTGTACATGCCAGTTAATCATTTAATCCTGATGGGCTTTAGTTTTAAAAAGAAGCAATACCGGACAAACGCAGACACACATACTAACAGCCAAAGAATCTGGTAAATCTCAGGACATGAAGCTTTTTTTAGTGAACAGATTGGGATTAATCCGTGAGACATAACTGATGGATTTAAATTGAGTGGCTTTGTTTATCATGATTTCCATGCCAGGGACCAACACCTCAGACAACCACAGCCTGACTCATGACGGCAGTGATTCTGCTTTATGTCATATCACCTCGGTTAAAGTCTGTGCCTGCTCCTATACCAATCCCTATCCTTGCCATCATGAGGAGTCTTGTCATCATGGCTGCAGTGGCACGTTTCCAAAGCCTCCAGACGCCCACCAATGGTTTAGTGGTGTGCCTGGCTGTTGCGGACTTCCTGGTTGGCAAACTGATGATGCCTTTGAGTCTGGTGCGCTCCATCGACAGCGGGCACTTCGGGTGCTGCTTCTGCCGAGCTAACTTCCTTCTAGATGTCGCCTTCTTGTGCTCCATTTTTCAATCTCAGCCTCATGGTACTGGACCGATACATAGCAGTGTGTGACCCGCTGCACTACCCTGCCCGGATGTCAGCCGGCATATTGCTGTTGCTCTGCTGGATCCTGCCTCTGGTCATCTCCTCCCTTTGCGTCAACCTCGACATGAACTCTCAGTACTCTAACCTGTCTGGCCATGTTTCACCTCGCTACGCCTTTGCCTTTGATGGGATGTTGAGGCTGCCCAGAGACAAGCGAGTTGGATCCATGCAATCGAACATGGCAGCTCCAAATATTCCCCATGAGGACTGACTCCACCTGACGCGTTCGTCATAACATAGAAAGATATTCTCTGAAGAAGGAAAGAAAGGCTGCTAAGACCCTAGGTCTGATCATTGGGGTCTTCCTGTTCTGTCGGCTTCCTTTCTTCTGTGTGAACGTGGTCCATCCTCTGAAGGGCTTCAGCGACAGCCCCCTGATCCTGGAGGCCTGCTCGTGGCTCGGATATGCCAACTCTTCTCTAAACCCTTTCCTGCTTTTTCAACAAAAACTATCAACACTTGTTGTGATGGAAACTTCTGAAGCAATTGGAAACAGGACTCAGAGAGACACGAGGAGAGCTGGAGCTTTGATGGCAAACACTGATGGTTTATTTGGAGTTACGGCCGGAGAATTGACAAGACAGGTTGTGTGTCACGAGTTGACACAGCGGTTGCCAAATCAATTCTGAAGAACTCTTCTGCAGCTCGAGGTTTTAACTAGTTTGGAGTGTAATAATCAACATTCTTCATCAGTGAGACTAAACACTATGGACCCTGAATCTAACGAGAGCTCTCGTCCAGAGAAAAGAATGCGCGCCAGGGAACCTACGTCCCTGAACAGTAAACTACCTCATGGCGGCTTGTGCTCTGTCATAGACTGGCAACAACAATGCGCCCAAGCTGCCCCTCCTTAAGAGAGATAGCAGCAATACCCAAGGCCATAGACCTATGCCATGGGAAAAGAGACAGAAAAGAGAGAAAACTATGAACTGGGTTGAAGGTTGAATACCGAAGCAAATGATTCCCAGTTCCTCTCTTTTTCTCAATTTTGATAACCTAAAAAACCTATTCTAATAATAATTTGTTCAATACTTAAATCAATGAGAATCTTCAGAAAGGGTGTAGGCATTCTACACAATGTTGCAAATAATCACATTAATAAAACATTTCAGATTGAAACAGTCAATCACAATCATAAAAATTATCTCTCATCAGTGTTTGGAGCATCTTTTGTCAAAAGCATAATAATGAACATACATGAAAATCACAGATACATAATAACACAAATCATTTAATCCTAACAAACTTTATCACGTATTCATCAATTATCAATGTAGTAAATTCAAATCTTACTCATTAACCTATTACATTTAAAAGACTACTTACGAATAAAGGTATTCTGATTCAGAAGCTAAACACCTGTTACTTTATCAATTACCCAGGACCACAAAGAATCTAATATTTAGATTTAAAAGGCTATATATTTTAAAGTATTCTAGCCATGTTGGACAGGGGTATTTGGGGGAGGCAGTTAAGGTCAGATTTGGATTCCTCAGTCTTTGAAAGGTAGGCACATACTGTTGTAACCTTGGAAACCATTTCAAGATGATCATTGTGTTTTTTCAACGATAAGGTGAGACAATTTGTGGTTGGGAGTTTTTGTTTGTTCAGTTTTGCCATAACCAATCAGTAGCGAGTTACTTCTCTGTTCAGGTAAGAGCAAGAAACCTTACTCAATCCAGAGTGTAGGCCTAACTCCAAAATCAATTCAAACTACATTTCCCACAATGCAATTTGATAGCATCTGTCATTGTACTTTCCCATTGTGATAAATGTTCCAGACTGCACACTCCGAGTTTTAAAAGCAAACTAGTAAAAAAATATACATTTATAAACTATGTTATGAATGTGCATGCCTGAGAATACCCTGAGGAGATTACCAGGGTATATTTATGCAGGTTTGGAAAGCTCAGAATCACAGATGATACTATTCAACAGCTTCATATGGTGAATAGTAGTAGCTGGTAGCAAGCTAACTATAGATGACCAGCTTTTTTAACTGAAAACACTTTAAGCATCGATGACAGGTTTACCTACACTCAATAAAACATGGCCTTTGATACCCTTCCTGTAGCCCTAAACCAAAATAATTCTGACCCTCATGTTAAGATTTGGCTTCAGGGACCTTGATCTGAAAATATTTGGGTTGTTATAAGTGTATAAACAGCAAATTTGAAAGCAGTATTAACTGGAAATTGGGGGTATTTACATGATTGTATCCATTGTTAATATGAAAGAATATTATTAGTACGGCTTTGATTAAGTGCTTTGTGTTAATTTGACATACAAACAATAAAAACATAAAGAGTGTCATTCACTTGATATGGCTTTCAATGCAGAATTAATAAGGACACTTTCAAATTCTGCGCCTCTTCTTAAACACTGCAGGAACACTAAAAAAAGAATACCTGTTATCAGATTATTGTTCAAAATTACATTTCGCAGCGCACTACACGTTTGATGTGCGTAAGGTTCACCTGGTTAAACAGGCAGACCCAGATCAGCAGACAGTGTAGGATCTCTGCTTTGAATGTGACAAATGATCTTCCTGCTCGCTTCACACCCTTTCCTCTTCACCATGTCAATGAGGCAGCGGGCCCTGTCTGCCCTGGTGTCGTTCTCCTGAAGAACAGAGTCTTTCTCCCCGTCATTCAACACTCCATCCATTAAAAGGTCATCCAGCAGCTGATTGATCAGTTCTCTGGACATGTTCCGCACAAGTTCAGGCCTCAGTCTGGCAAGCTCCTCTTCTGGAAGAAAAAAAAAGACATAGTATGGCCAAGGTGAATATCATTTATTAAAGCAATACTCATTTGTAAATCTTTGACTCTCCCCATGTTACCTATAATTTCTTTTTTTTAAATTTGGTGAATGGAGACCCACAAACGGCGAAATATATACAACTCCAAAATCAACAAAACACAGCATCGCACGGTAAGCCTGCAGCTTCCCCTTTTCACACTGAAAAAAATGTCTGCATCCCTTAAGCAACATTTTGCCTTACCCAAACGTTTTGTTGACAGACAAACTACAGTTCTGGAGGCTTATTGCAGGTCAACTCAGGCCGTTATTGCCAAATACCCTGCTACTGTCTGGGGCTTAGTTTGAGAGAAGCCTAAAGTTTGTGGTTCAGTTTTGTGATTCAATTGTAAAAAGATTGTTTAAAATTGACCATATCGGCTTAGTGTGATACATTCCTAAATACATGGCGAATATATCAGCTGGATACCCTGAAGAGCCTTTCTTTGTTTATGTAAATGACGGTTGTCAGGTCTTAAAACTTACCGTACATCCTCTGAATATCACCAGTGTTTTTATAGTCATCTGAAATGAAATACAGAAAATGAATATGTAAATGTGTTTAATTAAGTGGGTTATCTTTTTTTTATTGTAACATAAGACAGGATATTTGACATGAATAAGGCTGGAACTAATGTGCGATATGTATGCCACCAATGATATCCTACAAACACTGACCTTTTCGAATGATACAGGTCCACACCTGTCCAGATGTATGGGTGAGTACGAGCTGGAAATTACTGTCTGGATTTTCAATGAACACTTCAAAAAAGTTTGGGTCACTTCCTACATATTCAAGCTTTAGATTCTGTGAAATTAAATGCCGGGTTAGTGTTAACAACTCCATCCTGCTGAAGCTTTGCATTATTCATACAACATATTTCTGGACAACAATCACAATCAAAACGTACCTCAGGAGTAATTTCTGCACTGTCCATGTTGGCCTTGAGGGCGAAATATTTGCCCATTTTCAGGGACTTCTGTGGGTATGGCTTTTTGATCATGTTGTATCCACTGGATAATTCCTTGCTTTTTATTGTCTGTGGAGGAAAATTACTTTTTTCAGCACAAAACGTTCAGCCAACACTGTGGTCTGAGTTTTCAAGTATAAATCAAAAGCGATTACCTGTTGCAGAGCAGGATCACTAGGGATCAGATACACATGTAGTGTGAGGAATGCCAGGTTGGTCTTGAATATTAACACTTTACAGTTGATTTTTATCCGAAAGCCAGCTCTCATCAGGACTCCTCTTGGAGAGAAATGCGGCTGAGACAACTTGACATGGGATGGTGTAACCTCGGACACTGGCTCCACGACGTCTCCACAGGTATCTATGTGCAGGACTGAGAACTTGCCTAAGACTTCAGGGTTGTCTTCTGCATAAAGAAAAGTGCTTCAAAGTTTTTTATGGACATACTATTAAACAAAGCTATTACATATTTGTTTAAATTATATGTTTTGCTTGCCTGTGCAGATCCAGTGAGGCAGATACGCTTCCTCCAACTTTCCAGCAATGACAGTAACGTCAAGAAGGGGACCTCCAGGAATGAAGTGCAGAGCTTCCATCCTCTCCATGTGTTCCTCCCAAGAGCCAAACTGGTACTTCAAGCTGACCTTTTCCTTACAAACCCAGCGCAGTCCAGAGACACCACACTCAAAGGGACCTGCATCAGACTGTAGGCTAATTTATGGAAGGGAAGATATTGTAAGAGTGGCGCACATTTGCAGTATTGTTAGAGAAAAACTGAGTTATTTATTCATGAAAATGTACTTGCTGATTATCGTAATAAAGCATTGGAATTAATGGTCGAGCTCAGAAAAAGATCTTAGGTTTTCATCGGGAAATTGGTTCGCTGTGACACAGTAATTGAAGACGTTTTTTTACCTGTAAATTGGAGTATCCTCATCATCCCCACAGATCACTTCAGGTTTGAGTGTAATCCAGTGAACCTCAGGTACTTGAACTACGGTCGGCATCTTTATTTTAGTTGTCTGAAATATGTTAAAAGTATGATTTACTGTAGATGTACTGCAAGTAACAAGTAATTTACAGCTTGGTGTTGAAGTTTGATTTAAAAAAACTTCAAATATTCATGTATTAAGTATTGAATTTTGAATGTAATCATCAATTCATAAGTGTTAAAGAGGATTTGATGAGACAAAACAACTACCCAATCCAGAGGTCAATGAGGATGCATTAGACAGTTTTACTCACTCTTGCTTTGACAAACTTTGGAGGTCCTCCACTGCTGAGTTTGTCAACACTCTCTGACTGCGAATCCAATCTGAAATGGTAAAGGATAACTTTTAACGGATAACTTCACATGGTCCTTGCTTGGCTTAAGAAAACATACATTTTGTTTAATAACTCATAATTTTTTTTATATAAATTAGCCTCACAGATCAAAGCAGGGATGGCAGTGCAACACATTTGAACACAAATCGTTCAAAGGCATGTTTTAGACAGCAATTTGCAAAAAAAGCCTTTCATATTTTATTGTTTTATAATTTTCTTATCAACATTTTTGTTTATATATCTTAATGGCAATAAAAGACCAACCTTGGACCCTGTGCTTGTATTACTGGTATCCATTTCTCAACAATGTCGTAGAAGATGTCTTTGTCTTCTTCAGATTTTAGATGACCATCCAAGAGCTCTTTCATCTTCTCCTCCGAGGTCGGGAGAGTGCAGATTTTATCATAACTTTCCTGACGAATCACCCCCTTGGTAAATAGCTCATCCAAAACTGATTCCACATCGGTCACAAGGTGGATCAGCTGATTTCTTCGTATATCCACAACGTGCTCCTCTAAAGGAAAACCAAAGGAAAAAATACTCATTAGTCATTTTGAAGTTTTTAAAATAAAAGTATATTTGAGGAACAATACTTTCCACATATTACGTTAAGATTTGCATTTTCATTGTCTGATGTGTATCACAGTCAAGGACTTTACATGGACCCAAACAAGAGATACGGTCAAATAAACAATAGAAATGCGTTAATCATGCACGACATAAGGCAGAGACAAGTGTTGATGTTTGATTCACGCGATACCTTTGAAAGGACAGAGGTAAATATTGTTTATAATTTATATAATATATATATATATTTTTTTATTGTTACTTCTCTATTCCACCTTTTAAGTATTTGTATTTTAATGTCTGAACACACTGCTGCTTCTGTAACGAAATAATTTCCCAAATGTTGATCCATAAAATATCTATCTATCTATCTATCTATCTAATATCATGAAACATTATTATTCTTATATACATTGCCAGATATGCCAGAAAAACTACATTTTTACAGTTATGTTTAACATAAAGAAACAACAGTGAAATTAATTATCAACAATAATTCAACAACACAAACAGAAAAAAAGTACGGCGCTGGGTTCTAAGTTGGCTAAATTGGTTCTCATATATTGTATCGACCGTGGTTTTGTTAATCAATGCTGCTTCCTTAACATATCTTCATCTTTCACCAAATGTTTTTTAACCAACAAACAAATAGTATCAATATTACTGAAGATGCAAGGGAATATTATGCAAGGCCAAAAAGGGTTTAGATTCAATATTAATAAATGGATAAATAAGATGGGCTTAAAATAGACGATAATATAATAAAATATTCAAGCATATTTTGTCAAGCAGGGCTTGAATATATAGCAGCAATACTTCATATACATTCATTTGATTTGATTACCTTCTATTAGTTTAACATGTTGTGCTCTTTCTATTAGTAGTTTGTTTTAGTCTGCACTCTCTAATTTTCCCAGAATTGGATCATCTAAAACTTTTAGCACTAAAGCTCAACATTTACAATCTGTCAATACTATTTGAGAATAGAAAATAACATCTGTACAGGTATTTTTAACAGAAAAAAGTATTAATTATCTACAATAATTCAACAACACAAACAGGAATAAAGTACTCACCGCCCGCGGCAAATCTACTCTCCAGTACTGCCAAAATAGGAAATAGGAAAAAAATGCATTACAATTTGTTTTCCAAAACTGCATTATATGGTTCCCAGATTTAAACCAGGTTTTTTGTTAATCAATGCTGCTTCCTTAACATATCTTCATCCAAATGTTTTTTAACCAACAAACAAATAGTATCAATATTACTGAAGATGCAAGGGAATATTATGCAAGGCCAAAAAGGGTTTAGATTCAATATTAATAAATGGATAAATAACATGGGCTTAAAATAGACGATAATATAATAAAATATTCAAGCATATTTTGTCAAGCAGGGCTTGAATATATAGCAGCAATACTTCATACACATTCATTTGATTTGTTTACCTTCTATTAGTTTAACATGTTGTGCTCTTTCTATTAGTAGTTTGTTTTAGTCTGCACTCTCTAATTTTCCCAGAATTGGATAATCTAAAACTTTTAGCACGAAAGCTCAACATTTACAATCTGTCAATACTATTTGAGAATAGAAAATAACATCTGTACAGGTATTTTTAACAGAAAAAAGTATTAATTATCTACAATAATTCAACAACACAAACAGGAATAAAGTACTCACAGCCCGCGTCAGACCAGTTCAATGCTGCCAAGATAGGAAAAAAATGCATTACAATTTGTTTTCCAAAAGTGCATTATATGGTTCCCGGATTTAAACCAGGTTTTTTGTTAATCAATGCTGCTTCCTTAACATATCTTCATCCAAATGTTTTTTAACCAACAAACAAATAGTATCAATATTACTGAAGATGCAAGGGAATATTATGCAAGGCCAAAAAGGGTTTAGATTCAATATTAATAAATGGATAAATAAGATGGGCTTAAAATAGACGATAATATAATAAAATATTCAAGCATATTTTGTCAAGCAGGGCTTGAATATATAGCAGCAATACTTCATATACATTCATTTGATTTGATTACCTTCTATTAGTTTAACATGTTGTGCTCTTTCTATTAGTAGTTTGTTTTAGTCTGCACTCTCTAATTTTCCCAGAATTGGATCATCTAAAACTTTTAGCACTAAAGCTCAACATTTACAATCTGTCAATACTATTTGAGAATAGAAAATAACATCTGTACAGGTATTTTTAACAGAAAAAAGTATTAATTATCTACAATAATTCAACAACACAAACAGGAATAAAGTACTCACCGCCCCCGGAAAAACTACTCCCCCATACTGCCAAAATAGGAAATAGGAAAAAAATGCATTACAATTTGTTTTCCAAAAGTGCATTATATGGTTCCCGGATTTAAACCAGGTTTTTTGTTAATCAATGCTGCTTCCTTAACATATCTTCATCCAAATGTTTTTTAATCAACAAACAAATAGTATCAATATTACTGAAGATGCAAGGGAATATTATGCAAGGCCAAAAAGGGTTTAGATTCAATATTAATAAATGGATAAATAACATGGGCTTAAAATAGACGATAATATAATAAAATATTCAAGCATATTTTGTCAAGCAGGGCTTGAATATATAGCAGCAATACTTCATACACATTCATTTGATTTGTTTACCTTCTATTAGTTTAACATGTTGTGCTCTTTCTATTAGTAGTTTGTTTTAGTCTGCACTCTCTAATTTTCCCAGAATTGGATCATCTAAAACTTTTAGCACGAAAGCTCAACATTTACAATCTGTCAATACTATTTGAGAATAGAAAATAACATCTGTACAGGTATTTTTAACAGAAAAAAGTATTAATTATCTACAATAATTCAACAACACAAACAGGAATAAAGTACTCACAGCCTGCGTCCAAATCTTCCATTACTGCCAAAATAGGAAAAAAATGCATTACATTTTTTTTTCCAAAGTAGCAAATAGTGCATAACATGGGTTAATACTTGATGTACAGTAAATTGGAATCGTCAATTAGCTTAACATTTTGTGCCGCTTTCACTAGTAGTTTGTTTTAGTCTGCACTCGTCTCATTGTACGATAATACCCCTCAGAATCGGATAATCTAAAGCCTCTAACACAATAGTTAGATTACATTACATTTAATTTAGCTTAAACTTTTTTCCAAAGCTTTTTATCCAGCCAAGAGGGAGTTGCAATAGTTGCGATGTGAGATGAAAAGAGCCTAGGCCACAATATGCGTTGCCTTCTCTGGGAAACAACAGAGGTGCCGATGTTGATAGAAAGGTCATAGATGGGAGAGTCCTTAACAGGGATGAAGAGCAGTTCTGTTTCGTTTAGATTGAGCTTCAGGTGGTGTGCAGACATCCACTGAGAGATGTCACCAGACACGCAGAGATGCGTGCAAACCTGGGTATCAGACCAAGGAGAAGTCAGGTGTTTATCATCTGCGTAGCTGTGGTAGGACAGAGAAAAAGTCTTCCGTTCACACGCATTCGTTTAATTTAAAGGGGACCTATCATGCAAAATGCACTTTTGTACGTCTTTTATACATGAATATGTGTCCCCGGTGTTCCAGGGAACTCACCAAGTGTCAGAAAACACAACCCTCTCTATTTTCCTCCATACCCAAATCTCTAAAAAAGGGGCTGCAACGGATCTGATAAAAACTGATCCAGATTTGAACACTGTCCTGACGTCAGGACAGTGGCGCTACGGCTATTGGGCCAACTCCACCAATCAGGAGGAGACAGCCACGGCCATTGCCGTTCGAAAGCGCTGGAGACGCTGTAGTACATATGCTAGGCCAGTAGATGGTGCTGTTCTCACAGAATCAGCCCTTGCAAAAAAGCTAAACAATTTCAAATTGAGCGAAATGAGGCATGGCTAAAATGCATGATCTGTTTGGTATTTTGAAAAAAAAAAAGTATAAATATGCCTTATATAGGTATGGTCCTACACTATATTATTATAATATAGCATGATAGGTCCACTTTAACTTGTCTGTTCCGAGAGACCGCTCGAAAGCGCTGGACACGCTGTAGTACATATGCCAGGCCTGTAACTGGCGCTGTAACTTCCGCCACAAAATACACCAAAAGCAGCGAAGAAGACCCCGGAGCATGGTTGCCATGGTTGCCCTTCTGTTTATGCCCCGCGGTGGATTTAGCAACATGTAGTAGTTCATGTAATTCTCCATGTCCACTTGTTGCTGATGGTTGTGGTAGAGGAGCTGTAGATTTTGCACTAACATCTGTAGCATGGTCGAGCTGTAGATGTTGTACTAACATCTGTAGCATGGTCAGTAGCAGTAGCACTAGCAGTAGCTACTGACAGTAGCTAGTACTGACCATGCTACAGCAGTGAGCAGCAGAGGTGGGGAGAGGCGGGGCTTCATCTATCGGGAAATTATCGTATAGAGGCGATTACACGGAGCCGTTTGACCCCCCAGAGCGTTTAGTTTGCAAATCTATCCACCTTGGGACCCGTTATCGTTTGTGGGGTCCGTTTCTATCGTTTTGTTACGGCCTCGTGTAAATGAAAGGGCTATACGCAAGAGAAACTATGCGGATACAACCCGTTTCGTTCTCGTGTAAAGTGGGTCTAAATAGGGGAGAAAAGAAGAATAGTGCCACCTCCTCTTCCGGAGGTGAAGGAGTAAATAAGACCAACTCTGTTAAAACATTTTCAAGTCAAGGGTAAAATGTTAAAGTGGACCTATCATGCTATATTTGAACAATATATTGTAGGGCCATACCTATATAAAGTATATAAATATATTTATTATATATAACAGATCCTGCATTTTAGCCATGCCTCATTTCGCTCCATTTGCTCTTTCCAGCCCTGTTTTTGCAGGGGGCTGATTCTGTGAGCTGCAGCTGACCACGCCCCCCTGCAGGAGAGGGGAGCGTGCTCTGATCAGCTGCTGGGCTGTCAGAAGAGGGGGAGAAAAAGAGATCTCCGTCCTCCGTGTTTTATTATATTATTATATAGAGTCGTTATTCATTTGTTTTAAAGCTCAATAAATAACAAAGAAGACCTTTGACCGGCACTTTTCTAATTTTGTCCGGAAGATTTAAACTTTAACAGACAAACTCTGCCGCACGGTCCCCTCGTTCCTTGGAAGAGGCGGAGAGGTGGGTGTTTGTCATCTGCTTGTGGACTAACCGGAGATAATTACAGTGCTTGCCTCGACGGGGAGGGATTGCATTGAATTACAGCAGCAGGAGCAAACGCTTGCCTCGGGGAGGGAGAAAAAGAGCCACAGCGGAGAATAAACAGAAGGGCAACCATGGCAACCATGCGCGGGAAGTCTTCTTCGCTGCTTTTGTGGCAGACTACAGCGCCACTTACAGGCCTGGCATATGTACTACAGTGTCTCCAGCGCTTTCGAGCGGCAATGGCCGGCCGTGGCCCAACCCCACATTCCCCTGATAGGTGGAGAGTTGGTCCAATAGCCGTATCGCCACCGTGATGACGTCAGTGAAATGTTCAAATCTGGATCAGTTTTGATCAGATCCGTTGCAGCCCCGTTTTTAGAGATTTGGGTATGGAGGAAAATAAAGAAGGGTTGTGTTTTCTGACACTTGGTGAGTTCCCTGGAACACCGGGGACACATATTCATGTATAAAAGACGTACAAAAGTGCATTTTACATGATAGGTCCCCTTTAAGTAAGAAGTGTTTTCATATATTGTTGGGTTTCTCTAAAACTATATATTAAAGCAGGACTTAACTTTAGTAAAATTGCTCTTATAAATATGGAATATGTTAAACAAAAAACATTTTAAATATGGATAGGGTCAACAACTAATATCAGACCAAACATGCAAGAGCAATTCAAAAAAGTAACTAACAACACTCAAATAAAAAAGGAAAAACTATTCAACCTTGTCAATTAAACTTTGGATGGGTTACCTAATAGCCTATTTATATAATAAGATTCATTTATTAGAGTTATGACAACCTTGATGAAAAGCGTGTGTTCACTTTGGCGACTAACTTCCTAAAACAACACTTGAAAACACTCAGAACATTATGTCAAAGTGTGTCAACAACATACATTATGAGCAGAGAGAGATTTATCTTTCTATCACCATCCATATTGTGTTCCTATTTACTTGTATTATTGACCATTCATAAGAGATAGTTTATATAAATTTGTAAAATGCGTTCAGGGCTGAAAGGAAGGCAACATTGAAAGAAAAGTGATTGCTCGAAAGTGAAAGTATTTTTTGTGCATTTTGATTTCATGGATTAAATATTCTCCAACCTTCTAATTCCAGTCTGTCAGCCTCGTCCTCGCAGCCCATCATCCTCAGTATATGTGCAGCCTTTGACAGAGCACCATCCTCGGTGTAAATTGAAACCATGAAGTCGGTGATCTCTGAGATGTTTGTGGTGTCTATCGTCGCATCGCTCCAATTCGGGCTGCTGCTCGATGACCACCACCCCAGCCGTCTGCAGAACCATTTTAAATTGCTCGGGCTCAGTTTCAACAGCGTGTCTTTCAAAGCATCGGAGGACATTTTTCACAAATGTAAACGACCTAGACTAAAGTAGTGCTTTTCGGGAGTTTATCACCCGGCTGGCGGCTGTTGAAGTACAAACAGGAAGACACTTATTTAGGTGCGTTCATATGCTGTCGGAAATATAACAATCATTTTACTCCTGTCCATCAAAGTGCTACACAAGCTAAATCTGTCCGTCCGTCCGTCCGTCTGTCTGTCTATCTGTCTGTCTGTCAGTCATGTTGTTATATGTAGGATTATACAGCTGGTAAAAGATGGTAATCTGAGTACCATTGCTCAAGTCTAACATGCATTGACTTCATGGCAAGGATAATTGGTAAATAATAATCTACAACACAACATATTTTTACCCAGCTCTTATAGGGACATATTTTACTTTGTTTAAGAGAACGTAAACAAAATAAGTATTCTGAAACGAATAGTTAAATAAGGGCACAGCATTTTCACATAGGCTACACATGTTCAATTCAGTAGCTCTCCTGAAAGTAACATTTCAAAACAAGTCATTGAAATACATTTGATCAGCTCTATGAAATCGTTTTTTACTTTTATATTTGACATTGTAGAGACCAACAATGAATCGATTAATCATGAAAAGGAATAATCAGCAGAGAATGAAAATAATCACTATTTGCATGCAGATCTGTGTAATACTGACAGATAACTCACTTCAATTTATAAAGACTCATTCTCATATAGGCCTATAGTTGTCAAAAATTGCTGATCCCTAATTGAAGAAACCAACAAATACATAAAACTGAAAACATACCTCTATTTAAAGGATGTTGATAACCAGTTTTGTACAGAGCATTTTATTGCAACATACATGCTCAAACTTGCAAAGTTCTGGAAAACTGGGAGCCGGAAGAGAAAACTGCCTCAACTCTTCACACACACTTGTGGGGCGGACGCAGTAAAGTATATGAGAGAAGAAGTGGGTATTGCAACACTTCACAAATACAGTGTATCCCTTACAGGCAACTCCTTTTTGTCTCATAAACTCCTTCCTCACTTCGTCTCTATCCTTTCACCATCATGGCATTCACTGGGAAATATGAGTCAGAGAATCAAGAAAACTATGAGGAGTTTCTAGAAGCCCTTGGTATGAGATTGTCTTTCATGATACATCATTCATAAATTGATTTATGGTCATTTATGTAATCTTCAGCATTTGGAATTTCACCTGCGCTCTCACAGGTCTTCTCAGTGCCAAGACAGACCACAACGTGGTAACGGAGGTGCTTCAGGATGGGAACGACTTCACCTGGACACAAAGCATTCCCAACTGGGCCTGGTCCAATAAGTTCACCATCGGTCAGGAATGTGAGCTGGTGACAATGAAGGGTGACAAATTCAAGGTGAGTTATTAACTCAGGGACTAGAGAACATGATCCTTTAACTGCAAATGTGCCACATATTCACTACTTGTCTTGATCTTTCATGTGAGCAAGTTTATTGGAGATTTTCCTCTGTGCCCTGTAGGCTACTGTCCTTCTGGAGGGCGAAAAGATTTCAGCTCAGTTTCCTCAGTACCAATTCACAGCAGAGATCATCGAGGATAAGCTGGTTATGGTAAGAGAAGTGAACACTTCACTTGTGTTCAAGCAATCAAACCCTGCACCTTAATACTCATTGAGACTCATTCTGTCAAATTTTTTATAACAAGATGAACATAAATTGTTATATTTTCATCACAAATCATCTCTTTCTTTTGCACGTGTCCTCCAGAATTGCATAACTTCAGGAGAGAAGGGCGTGGCTTTCAAAAGAATTAGCAAGAGGATGTAATGCTGCGAGACTCAACATGCTTCAATAGAAAAGAGGCTCCTTCGGCGACAAAAAACATATCATGAAAATGCTTGAATTACTGAAGCAGAAAGAATAAAGTAACCATCTGCAGCGAGGAACAAGTGGGACATCTTTTGACTTCACTGAACTTTGTTTGGTTGTTTTCGTTTCATATATTTATGAAGAAAATTGGTAAATATATATTGTGTTTCTACCAGGGTCCATGTTTGATCCAATAAAACTGAAATCAAATCAAACATTTCTCTTCCAGGCAATCTTTTTATTTTATTTCACTTGGTTTACACCATTGATGCTGTGGTAATGAACTCTGACATGCAGGATGTTTTCTTGTGCACATACTGCAAATAAAAACACAAGCTGGATACCATTTAAAGATAGATAAATCAGGATATATGTATACGCCTATCATTGGCATTAGTGTTATTTGAAGTTTGAATCCATGGAAACTAACGATATTTAAATGTGATGCAGACACACCCAGCTAATGTGTGCTGGTAATACATGTGTCATCAACCAGATATTTGTTCTAATTTACAAATTAGAGTTACTAAAGTCTGGTTCAAGTACCAACAGGTTGAAACAGTGCTTGAACTTTAAAACACAATAGTTACAAAATAAATAAAAAACAGTATTCCTGGTTTTATAAAGAACTTCAACATTCCTATCATTATTCCTATTTATGTATTCACCACCAGTATGGTTTCCTTGTTTAAAATGCACATGTATCTTTTGCTTGCAAATGGATCTTTTTTTAATTGAAGAAATGATCTGCTGGGGATGTCAGTCTGCATTACTGCACCAAACAAATGAACCGCTGCAGTTTCAGGAGCGTCGGGCCTCCGCTCGGCTCAGGTGGTCGGATACATTCTAATAGATATATTTGATTAGTGTGAAACGTGCCTGAGGAGGTGTTTGGTTTCAGGGACACAATATCACAAACACCTGTGCACACTAATACGATGAAACAACTGAGACAGAGTTTATTGAGACACAGGTGTTCATTTAACTGTGTTTGTATCTTTTTTGAGTTGTTGCACTGAATTGCAAACATTGTGGTGTATTGTAAGGTATTGATTTCAAATGAAACACAGCCAATTCCATACCCTGTTAATCATCACATCTCCAATTTTCTCTAGAGTCAGCTATTGTGATTGTAGAAATGTTATATCATTTCATTTCATCAAGAATACTGAAAGAGATGGCAGTTCAGCCTGATAATCAAACGTGACTGATCAGCTGAGAAACCCACAATCAAGTCAATGTGAACAAAATACCCAAAGTAAAATGTTGATTGATGTTGCATTAATATCAATATCTTTACTCTGCTTTCAATTGAAAATGTAAATGTTTGTTTTTTTAAATACTAGCTAACTGTGTCTACTTCCCCTTTCTTTTACAATTAAAACCTACTACTAAAAGTTAGAAGACACCCCCTTGTCTTCATCAATGGAGTTAAGGTGGAGCAAAGTAACAGTTTTAAGTTCCTGGAAATCAGCATCACAAACAACCTTAAATGGTCATCATCACACATCTTCATCCTGGTAAAAACACATGACGAGGCAAAATCCTCCTGCCAAGGTTTTGTTAACTTTTACAGAGCCTGCCGACAGGGAACATTAGGAACTGGCCTGGGATCTGCACGGTCAAGCACAGAAGGGCTCTGAAATCACCATTGATAGCAAGCTATATAGAAGGGGGATGCTTGAGAAGAGCCCAAAGGGTATTCAAGAACAATCAACCTTCTCCATCACCAGACTATAGAGCTGCTTAGTTTGCATTGTTGTCATTATGTAGCAAAATGGTACTAAAACGGCAACCATGTTTGTACAATAAAAGAAAATCACCTTGAGCTTTTTGACAAGGCCAGTTCGTCCTCTGAGTTTCACTAACATAAAGCAGGACCAAAATACCTACATTCTTAAAATCAAACAGCACTGGATCTAAATTGTGGACATTGATGCTATTAATGAACGTCTTCTCTGACCTGCATTAGAGAAATATATTTCACACACCTCAACAAGGACACCTTCAGCTGCCATGAATATAAAGCTGCTGATACTGAAATTAAATCATGAACAAATTAATTATCTATATATTACTATTAGCCGAGGAGTGCTTTCCAAAGGGCTGTTGTTAGTGAAGGAAGAGCTGCACTTTCCCATTGTCACCACCGCGAGGCGCCCTCATACCTCAATGAAACATCAGAGGAAGCATGCCTCTCACACTTTCATTTCATGGGGTTTATTATGGGTACATTCACATTTGTAAAGATGTCATTTGTTTTGATGGTGTTCAAAAACAATAACTTTTTTCGGTTCTATCAGAATTTCAGGTACAAATCCAAATGTGTTCAGCAGTGAGCCGTTTGCTTCTTTTAATGGATAAATGAGGGAGTATATAGTTCTCCATTGATTCTCTTTTGTTGTGTGAAAACAGTAACACATTGGTCCCTCTATAACACAGTCTTGTTCACATTCACCCCCTTGTCCTAACAATTAGACATGCTGCATTTCACTATAAAAAATACAAAAAATGAGAACTTGCTCATAAAAGAATCTCTGGCTTTTGCAGCCGTTGTAAAAATGGAGATTTTAATGATTTTGACATCAAACATCAAAAGAAGGGAAGGTAGCTGTTTCTGGTCACATGTACTTATGGGGCATGACATCACATTTTTATTATACAGACTGACCATTTTCAAAGCTTAAATTCAGTGAACTGCTTTTTCTTTAGTAACATTTTTATTTTTATTATTGGAACTCATTGAATGATGATTTCCATAATAACGACCTCTCTTGCACACATTTTAAATACCTGAAAACATTAGATTTTTCATTAATAAAGTAATGAGTAAGGTATTGTTACCCCTATATATATTGGTCTATTTAGACTCGTATATATTTTCTTTAGTATGCTACCTTTACAGTTTAATGAAGCATCACAGACAAATGTAATTTGTGTAGATGGTAGATGCAAGTAAATTATTTTAAAAGGTGGCTGTTTTAACCTGTAAGAGTTGTGTGCTGATTTCAGTTAACACAAATGAATTAATACAAATGTGCATTGGCATGAACCCCAACGGTGATTTACTAATCATTGAGATTAGCCACCAGTTTATGGCACAGTCCAGGTGTTGATAAGGCTAATTAAATGTAAAAAAGTATTAAGCAAATGTAATAAGACCCCCAAACATTGAGCAGCTCTCTCTGCCCTCCCTTTTCTTCATGCAGGACACACTAAAGAGAAACGAGCAGCCTCTTCAGAAAAACACTTAATCTCAACATAAACACACACTTTTTTTTTTAAATACACAAATTCTATAAAGTGTGTACCAAATACTGATTGCTGTTTATTCTGTTTGCCCAGTTAATTACGTTTCAGGCTTATTTTGAGGAGCATGTGGATTGCTATATTTTCTTCAAATGTTTCTACTTAACTTAATGATTATTAAAGATCTGTGAGCTGATATGATTAAGTATTTGTGTTCCAAATTTATGGGGAAAAAACAATGAAAACGCCTCAGTTGCATGATGAATTAAAGATCCTGCTGTGTTTGAGAGAACAGAGCGGAGGCCTACAAATGTCCGCGGTCCTCTGTGCTGCGTCCAACACGAGGAGGGCGGTCTGTCTACAAGCATTGTGCTGGGGTATAATGTGTCGTGTGTGAGAGACACTGAATGGATTTTTTATAGATCCAAATGTTGTTAAAACACAGAAAGCTCTGACTGAGCTGTGGAGGAGGACTTAAGAAGCAGCAGAGACTGAACTTCATTCTCTCATACTGAATTATTACTTTGTCTGCTCGTTGATATACTATTCCGCTCTTGGTAACAGGGAGAGATTATTTGCTTTCGGTTTGACCTCAAATACAAATTGTGCAAATGTCAATGGTGGATAGAATATGTGCATAATTTAGCTGCAATAACTTGCATACAATATTCATGTAGAATGTGAAACGCTCCATTCAGAATGTAAACTAAAGCATGGATTAAATATATTGAAGATTATAAAAAATACAAGTACTCATTCAGCAGCTGAGCCACGCTATGTACGCTATCATTTGTTTTAGTAGCTATTACAGTTCAAGTTAGTTTACCAACTTTAAACATTGATAAGACAGCCAGTTTAATATATATTTATGTTTGTTTGCCAGAATAAATCTGCAAAGTAACAATTAACCACAGCTGTAAGGTAAAAGTAGAAAAGTCAAACAAACAATATCTGTAAAATTTAGCAAAGAGGAAGTGTAAAGCAGAAGTAGTGGAATTACCTAACATTTTTAATAAGGTATAAAGCAGGGTAAATGTACTGAGTTACAGTTCACCACTGGCCGTACTGGTGTAGTGCTGTTTGGACGACAGATGTGTTGCATTGACAGCATGTGGTCACAGCTGGAGGGTTGTGTAAAGCCAGCGGGGTTTATCACTGGAGCTGCTGCATTGTCTTGCCCCTGAACCAATCAGAGCAGTGCAGGGGAACCCGTCTGTCGTCAGTGAAGATACACACCCTTCAGACACTCAGTTCACTTTTGTGTTTATTTTTCCGTGGCAAATCATGATAAAAGAAATCCTTCTATCATTCGGTGTCACATACACCAAAACTACATATTGGTACAAAATAATACAAAAATATAAATTGGAAGTTTGTGGTGTTTGTGTTTTCATTACTATCACATTAGACAAGTGTTGTTTGGTGTGAGAGACATCAGCACCTTTCACAGGAGGAACAACTGCATCTCTAGCTAAAAGACAAAAGCATTTAGTAATATCTATCACTCAACGGAAGTGGCTGCAATATGCAACATATTCATTGTGTTCAGAGCCCACTGCCCTGTGAAGGAGATGAAGCTGCAGCAGCTCAAATCACACAATTATCAAAAATAAGTTACAAAAGATGAACCAGTGGTGTACACGAGACAGTGATGGCTGTGGTCAGTTTAAACAGAAAAACATCATATTGCACCTTTGACACCTCAGTGAGAAGTTGCTCATGAATAATGAGGAAAAGAGCAAGTTGTACTCTAAAAACAAAATCTAGTTCACACCAGCGGCATTCATCGGGAGGATCACAAAAAGCTTTAACTAAAATACACTGAAAAAAGGAATGTAAAAAATATAACAAAACTGTACATAAAAAGTTAAAACAAAGGCATAGTATCTTAGCTCATATCACCGGAAAGTAAATGAACAGGTTGTTTACTCAGGGGTCGGAAGACAAAGCTGTAGATATGAGTTGTGATTATTGTAGTTTCAGAAGGCTTCATGTAGTGTTATCTGAGAAATGCTTCTCAGAGTATGGATTTAAGACTCACAGCTCAAGCACGGCAGCTGCTCAGGACAAGGCACGACACGGTAAGATGGCCTATGTCCACCACAACATTTTTCAGTCAACATCTGAGGGTCTTCAGTCGAGCTGCAGAGATCACGGGCTTCATTTGTCATTCGAAAGAGAGAAAAGCTATCGGTTTTGTAATTTTGTTTATGCAAAAAATATCTTCTGCATCCCCAGCTTCTCAAAGGTGATGCTTTTCTTCATCCTAAGTGGTCAGGAGCTGAACATTTATTTGACAGCAGGTCAAATAAAGCAGGCCATTTAATTTAAAAAAAACATGAGCGCTGTGGGAACTTAACGCCGTTATCTTTTACAATTTCTTCAAAATGTTTTGTATGTTATCAAGAAAATAATCATTCGTTACATACCCAAATGAGTTTAACAACATCCCAAAGCGCGAGGCCCGCCGTCGTTTAAGGCATTACCATGGTAACCAGTGGGGAAACCCATGTGATCGAAACTGGCAATCTGGATGTGTTTATACGTTAACAGGAAGTGGAAGATTGGGGATTGCAGCTTCAGAAATCTTGGAGGCAATTACCGCGGACTGCCCACAGATGTGTGAAACCAGTGACCATGAGGTTGTTCCACCGCGATGCAAACAGACTGCTTCATGCATTCAGTTACCGACTACACAGCAGAGAATGGTCCAGTGATGAAGAAGGGGATTATTCCAGCCCCCACAGATGCTGCACTAGCATCCACTTTAAAGCATAAGAGCACAGGATAATGGGAAGGCTGCTTGTTTCGGCCTTGAAACCTGAGCCTGAATAAACAGTTTCTATGAACAGGTACAAAGAAAGCTATAATTAATCAATGGTGTGTTTCTAAGATGGTAAAAGAAAAGCTACACTATATCAAACAAAAATGGAAATCGAGAGAAATAATGATCATAAATAAAAGCTATGGCATGTTTCAATGGCATCATATTCAAGTAATCTTGTTCAAGTCCCTGATAATTAGTGGTTCATGTAAACATCGGAGTCATTAACACAGACACAGAACCAACAGTTCATGAGAAGGCAGCAGCAATTCTTATTTACAATACACGAATAACGTCCACGGCTCCTTCTGGTCCAGTCACATCATTTTGTGTTATATTCTTTGAGCGGTGCAGAGACACCAACATTAAAACTTTAGTATGACAAAGCCTGGAGGTTCCAGAGAGACACAGTTTCACCTGGATGAGTGTCCGCTCTGCCACAAGGCTGGACTTTGGAGGTGGGAGAGACGCCAAGGACAGCAAGAGGAGTAAAGACAAGATGAAACACTGCGGACTTTACCTGCTGTGCTCAAAGCAATGAATTCTTCGATTCCTCCGAGGGCTAATGCAGTGAGGAATACCCAGAGGGGTCCTTCATCTCCAACAGAGACTACAGGAGTCGGATCGATGTTCCCGGACACTGTTTTTCTTCTTGTCTGTCTCTCAAATGGTGGCTCAAGAACAAAATCAAACACCTGCCTAATTCTCCCTGTCCAACATGTTACATTTTTGGGATTAGAAATTAAAAACAATAATTTCAAGCAGCAAGATATCCTTATCACAGATGCTTTGTGTTCTGTGTTCCTCTAAAAATGGCTCAGCTATCACATGACTGAGAACAGGCACTGAACGAGGTGGGTGTTGGATCACACTGCTGCTTCCATCTCATTCACAGTGATGACAGTCTCATAATAACATTGATTTTTAAAACCAGTTCAGAGAATGGAAACAGCATCTTTGCAATGCCTCTGTATTTCATGATGGTGGAGTATTTGTCACGTCAGTGTGATGATTTCCACAGGGTCTGTCTTGCATTTGGACCTCTGCTTGCGTTTGAGGCGTCTCTGTGTTTGGGACGAGGGGGTTGGACAAGCTGAAGGTGTAGCGGAGCTGACGGAGAGAGACAGGAGGTCTGCAAAAGGATATTTTGGGGTGGGGAACTGGCTCGGAAACATAGCAGTGCAGTCCCGCATGGATTTGTGTTCCCTCTCCGTCTCCTGGCGTCACCTGTCAAAGCAGCCGGCTGTGAAAGTGTGATGGGACCCCAGGTAGCCCCCGCTGTAGGCCATACTCAGACAGTGGCGTGGCTCTCCAGCTAGGGCCATCTGCACAGAAATGGGGCCCTGGAGCGGCAGAGCACGGGCCCCTGGCTGAAGGCCTGAGGTCAAGCTTGGGTATGAGGGGAACCCCCCCCCAGGAGTCATGGAAGAAGCCCCAGTGAGGAGGCCCATCCTGTGGCTCTGAAGGAAGTCCTGAGACATGTTCACCATGGGCCCCAGAGCCTGGGAGTCAGCCAGCGCCTGCAGCTGGGACAGGGACGGGGAATGCTGGGTAAGGTGTGCGAAACTGTCCGGCTGAAAGAGCAGCTGTGGTGTGGAGGAGGTGGAGGAGGAGGTGGAGGAGGCTGGTCTCTGGATGGCAGACATTGGGGAGAGGTGAGAGGTCTGAGGCTGAGACTGCAGGGAGGAGGGCCGGTGAGGAGGAGTGGATTTGGTCTTGTTGGCCTCCTTCACGTCATTGTCATGAGCACTGTGCGAAGGAAAGGTAAGACATAGAAAATAGATGAGAAATGACTCAACAAATATGGAAGAATTGACTCTTTTTGCTCTGTGCTCCAATAATAGTTGAGCAAACCTCAACCAGCTCTCTTCTTTCCTGTTGCCTATTTATAATGCCATGTCTTTAAGAAGCTAACATTACTAAGTAAAGCCACATTTTCACAATCTTTTCACAGCTTAAGTTAGCTAAGGTAAAGCTAGCGAAACGCTGGCTAATAGTTAACGCTTCATCAACACTCTTATTTCTGTGGTTCAAGGGACTTGAACAGGGATTTGGATGAATCAATTTAATTATAACTTAAACCATCCTTGCATTGCTGGTGTAGAGAGCAATGTGGGTGGAAGACTTTCCAGAGAAAATGGCTACAAATCCATTTATGGGGTAGAGATTGGTCTCTACCAACCATTTTTAATCCTCCACAATTTAGTGTGAACATGTGCAAACAATTACACTAACCCAGATGCACACAAATAAATGCGCACAGCTGCCAACCAAGAAATGTGCAATTTAATGACAGTTGTTAAATGACACTATCAGAAAGGTGGACAGGCTTAACCTGATGAACAAAAACATTATAAACCTTGACTGTTTAAAAAACACAGGCATCCTGTAATCCAAAACCATGGCAACAAAAATGAACAAGGATAGGGGCCCTGATGTCATCTAACTTGAGTTGCCCACTACACTTCAAAAGACTGCCAGACTCGCTTTCTATGAGACCTTTTGGGGGTGTGTGTGTGTGTGTGTGTGTGTGTGTGTGTGAGAGAGTGAGAGTGAGAGTGAGAGTGAGTGTGAGAGTGAGAGTGAGAGTGAGAGTGAGAGTGAGAGTGAGTGAGTGTGTGTTCCTTACAGCAGCATGAGCTCGATGCACTGGGTGAGGTGTTCCCAAGTGTAGCCTGTTAGTAGATGCAGAGCAGTCGTCCAGCTTGGAGAAATCTGAAGGCAAATACGAGATGCTGCCACACATGCAGCAGCAACCTGGGATGGTCGGAAACTTAGAAAGGCGTGGTCTAAAAAAAAGAAAAAAGACAATAGAAAATAAGGATCAGAAAATGTTTCTACAAGCTAATTCATCAATGTCCGACACCTCTGAAAGAAACAAGGCTTGATCATTTGTCCTACACCCACCTTGCAGTGAGACCTCCAGAAAGTAGTGAGTGTATTTGTCCATGAACGCCTTGGTCTTGGAGAGGGAGGAGAGCGGCCAGCCGTTGTACAGGTCGCCCTCCTGCACCGAGGCGTGGAGGTAGTAGTCAATAAAGTGGGCTGGTGTGGGCATGCACAGGTTCCAGCCAAAGGTCTCGAGCAGCAGAAGCTCCATTTTGATGAGATCCTTCTTGTTGAGCACCAGGTTCAGGCTGCACATAAAGCCCAGAGAGTTCAGCTGCTCCAGTTTGGGAACCCGGTCTTCCTTCTCCTCAAATTTACCTGCAGAGAAAGAAAGAGATGCAGTCAGGTCACTGAACACCGTTTAGTGCAATTTGTGTATAAGCATTGGTTTTAAAAAGTGACACGAAGATAGACTACACATAACCATGAAAGATGACTGCAACAGAACAGAGGAGTAGTCTGCAACAATTTATAATCAATTCATCATTTTCAACTAATCATAAACTAATAATAGAACACATTCAGCTCCTCAAACGTAAGAACAGCTTTTTCTCTATTAGGTCTTTAAAATGTTGTTTTAATTCAAAAAGAAAAATCCATATAGATGAACTGAAAATTAAGATATAACATATTATATATTTTATATGAATATTTAATTGGTAAGATCCTCTTTTTGTAAATCATAGCCAAAATAGTCACACTAACAAGGATGTGAAAAGGCAAAAGGGACAACTGCCCGGACTCTCTGTCATTATATCTTCATAAAAAAAAAGCCATGTTTTGATACGAGGTGATGATAGTTCTTTGTTCCTTTCAGTATTACATTATAAATATAATCATCATGTAGCTACAGGATGCTGTGCAACAAAACATAACAAGAGCCTGCTTAGCATTAGCAATTAAGCTGACTATTGCTGAACATCTGGCTGTAGCGCTAAGCTATAACGCACTCAGGAAACATCGCTACCGGCTTGCAGAGTGTGGAGCACTAACTGTGGATTAAACAAGCCTAACGCTTTCTATGAAAAACAAACATTCAGCCAGAACCCCCATATTTCTGTCCCTCTCACCCTCTCCATATCCTCAAAGACTTTGCAGCGTAGCATTACAGTGAACCCCTCCCCAAGATATCCTCTTCTCCATGGCAACAGCCCTGAGGCCTTGGGGGTCCGTGTGACCAATGGAGAGGGGTGACTCTGCCTTTAATCCAAGAGTCCCACAGGCCTCCTCTGCTCAAAGTTAAGAATGAGGGCGAGGGGGTATCAGGTTACTCTGATACAGGCTTCCCTCTCAAGCATGTGCTTTAGCTACACTCGCTTTGAGAAGGACGACGTGGAGACTCATTGCAGCCAGTGATGGTTATTTGAGGCCGATATACATAATTGTGCTAAAATGTATACATTTGGTTTACGAAACGGTTCAAATCATGTAGAGAGCTAAACAACAGTCATTAGCCAAAGGTATTCAAATGTGGTTTCAAATAAGAGACACTTTGTATGCAAAACAAACAATCAAAGTGTCATTGTAGAACATTTAAATGGGTTCATTTATGGACCAACTCTAGTGAGGAAATCAAAAGATTTACAGCGTTTAACAACTTTTTTTTTTTAAGACGGTGCAGGATATGTAGTTTTTATTTTTTATTTGTGGTTTCTTTTGTTTTATTCTGGTAATTAAGGCGGGTATGGAGTATGAACACTAAGGCGGAAACTTCGATTATTTACCTTAAGTTTAATAATAAAATACTTCAAAAAGAAGAGACATGATTGTGTTAAATTCATTCTACTCCTTTTGAGACATTAAATATCTGCTTTTTTTTCTTGTTGGGTATTCTTGAGTTGTTCTCTTACTTTATCGTTGCTTCCTAGCTGTTGTTTCAGGATTTCTAGGAATATTAAGTTATGCATCAGCTTTGTCAAAATCTGCATCCAGTACAACAACCCTTCTGTTAGGGTAAATATTAGCCTCTAATCTGAATCCATGGCAACGAAACACTAAAAATAAGGGCTGTATTGGCTTTCCGAGCTGCAGTTAGAAGTGCGTCCTTCAATCAACAACTGTGTGCAGTGTCTTTCAAGGACCTCATTTACTTCTTCATGTCTGAGTGAGTGGGTCGTCTTCCTATAGAGTGCGAGTTTTACCACTGATGTTGCGACCCACCATTAAGCAGGGGAGAGAGGGAGAGAGCATGAAGGGGGGGCAGCCTAACCGGCCAGAGGGGTAATTAGCAGAGAGGCAATAATGAGATCTCCCTACCAGAACAGGAAGCAGAATGAAACCGCGCTGATTACAGCCATCAGGGCTCCCTCCACAGCCCAGTCCACACTCGCCCCATTCTCTCACCCTCATATCCTCTGGACCCGTCTGCTGCTAGACTGCTATGTCCACACAGACGCTGCCATAAAACGCCATCAATGCTCCCCAATCTCCACACAACCCCAGCCGCTTTGATCTTAAAGAGAGACACCGTGCAAGTCAATCTCCTCATTGTGCTCTGTGATTACTCCTCTGGTTTACTACAGAGGGTGACCCGGCACATGAGAGACATGCGATGCCCGAAAGCTTTGAAAAAAGAAAACAAAGCAACTTCAGAGGGACCTACAGGAGTACAGTATGATGAGAGCCACAAAGCGGTTTGAATTACTGTAAAAAAGAAAACGGACTCATGTGTAGATCACAGCCTGTGTGACAAGACTGTGGTCTCATTCATTTCAATGAGTTGGCACAGCATGGGTGGGCTCCAGCAAAACAACACAGGGCACCAAAGTTGATTCTGGTTCGCCTTTATCTGCAGCACAACAGAAAGTTAGATAAAAGTGCTGAGGAAAAAAAGAGCATCAAACTGTTTATTTTGTTTGTAGGATTACGGCACATCAAATATTAACAAACCCTGATTCAGTGCTTAAGGTTTAGTCATTAAACTGGACGTCCTGATTTGCATGTCACCTTCTCATTGGTATTATGTAGCAACAACACAAATGCAGCCCTTTGTTCTGTTAGTCAGTGTGGATGTGGCCCGAGAGACACGGTGCATTCCTCTCCTCTGAGTACAGCCTACCTGGAATGCAGGGGGCTAAATGATCATATCATAAGTAAGCGAGCAAGAAAGAGACACTGCTAACGGAGAAAAAACTGCCTTCCTTTTCATCAACACAAACTACCTTTGAATACTCTGCGACTACAGGACACCTATCCTCGCTCAGGGCACCCGCAGGTGGTGGTGATGAAGAGAAAGGTCAAGGAAACAGGGAGAAGTTAGGAGTCAGGGGTTAGGGAGAGGTAAGGGTCCCTCCCAGGTGTGCTGTTTGAGGAGGAGGAGGGGCGGAGGGGTTTTGAGTAATGGGGGCTGCTAGGAAACCTGAGAGCTGTATTCTCACACTGAGACAAAGAACTCTGTTTCTGTTGCGCTTCATTCGTCCATTTTGGTCACCCTTTCAAAAAGTTAAACTCCTCTAAAAGGAAAATAGGGTCACTACAATAAATGTTAGGCTTTTACAGTTTTTATCATTTCCCTGCAACACAGAGCTGGAGGCTAGTAAATGTTGATGAACATTTCTTAATGGAAAAACTGACACAGCGAAACCGGAAGAAAATGGGAATAATTTACATCATACAAGACTCATAGTGGGGACATTGCAGCTGAGCTACACATTAATCCTATATTTAAAAAATAAAAACATGTGAATTTATGTTTCAACATTTTCTCCATGCTTCCTTTTGTTATAATTTATTGAAATGTTCCTCTCCAATTTCATCTTTTCTCCTCGACTTGAAAGTTAATTCAAGGAATTTCCTCTTCTGCTGAAACTCCTTTTAATTGCTAGTTCATTTTTCATTGGGTCAATGAAATTGGTCACAGCTCCATCACAGAATTCCGTGTGGCCACCCCTGGCCCCGGGACCTCTCACAATGTAGGCCCGGGCCGACCCTTGACCCCTGATGCTCATGCCTGGGTGACCTAGGAGAATCTTAACCCAGCCCACAGCAATGATGTGTGTGTGAGTATGTGTGGTGTGTTTTGGGGGTATCTATCGACTGGGGGTATGGGCAAAAAGAGCCTCAGGCATGACACAACTACGAAATATGACTTGTGATTGTGGATTATAATTACACAGAATCACTCGGATGAACACAGCGGTGAATTGGTGTGTGATTACAATGAATAATATTAACTTTTTTAAGCCCATCTGTACATTTTTACATAATTCCTTTAATTATGAGATCCCCACATGACAAGAGTTCAATCAGAATTATTGTCAAACCTCTGAGAGGGGATAAAGGGGAGGTGGGTTCCCCATTCATCTACAATTCAGGGCCCCCTGCTGGGTGGTTCAGTTCTAACATGTCCCATTTTGCAGGCCACCACCTCTCTCTCCCTTTCTACCCTGTTTAACATCAGCAGCCGACCTGCCTTTGAAGTACAGCTCCATTCGTTTCCCAACCCCCCCAGGGATGTGGGGCTGCTTTTACTGGCCGCCCTGTCCCAGGACTGGTTCGCTCTGCCTGTCCCTGACAAGGTGAGAGAACCAAGAGGAAACAGAGCCAGCAGCCAAAGGTAAAAGGACACCAGAGCCCGGTCGGTTGAATGTGGCAGTAAAGCAGTACCCTTTTGTGGGAAAATCTCTAGTGAATAACACGTCAATATGAATCTCAAGTAGATAAACAACAAAATCATAGGTTGATCACAAGGTTGCCACAGCGACATCTACTCATTTAGCAACGTTAGCTTACAGCAAATCTCCTCCATACAAACAACAACCTCCACGCCTCAGCTCCCCTCCCCCTCTCTGCGAATGGTCTGGCTGGCTGGCTGTCCTGCTTGCATTGACGGGCTTTTGTTTGAGGCCTGACTCGGAGAGCATATGGCAGGTGCCCCTCAGCACACAGTTCCTCCCCGCCCCCGGGCTCTGAGGCCTGCCTGAGTGCACTGTGTAGTCCATATCATTGAGCTTCTTGTGCGTTCCAAATGCAGGATGCTCTTTTTTTGTTTCCTTTAGAGACCCTTTACTGAATTAAGTCCGTTGAACAAAGTAGATTAAATCCAGTTTCAATATAACCTTGCGGGAGATATACACCAAGCATCCAATGATCATAACCAAGAGCCAAACAACAAACAAAATATATAAATAGACAGAATTAAACCTTGGGACAATGTATACTAGCTGGCAACAGAGGCCCATCTGTGATGTCATTTACCATAACAAATAGCTGCAGTATGCAGAGCTCTGACTTCAGGGACCGAGATCTGTCAGGAAGACTGATGTGAGCACGGCAGGACTTCATGGAATGTAACACAATAGAAACTTAGGTTTGGGTATGCGGACCGATTTTTTAAATAGAAATATGCAGAGTATACTCAAATTGTCTTCACTGAAATCCACATTAATATGCCTCAGTATTCTGGTTTCGTGGAGTAATTGGATTTTCTGGAATTAAGTAAGGTCTCTAACTAGGATCCCAACAGTTAATAAAACTGACCATAATCTCACTCCTGCTAATGAAGAGCTCATCCATGAACAAACACATGCACACTCAAGCACCCTCAAAACATATAGACACAAAAGAGTAACAGGATTAAGCATTGACTGCTGAGAAGGACAAAAGAAGTAGCGATTAATTAACCGGGTGCGGAAGCCGGAACATTTTAAAGAAAGACAATGTGTGGCTGTCAACGGCAGGCAGTGGGACCTGGGGAGGCTGTTCAATAACTAGGCCAGATTCCAAAGCACCTCAGGACAGAAAAGAAAACCAAGACAACTTTGATTCAAACGCCCTTTCAAGCCTTCATCAATCACGGCTGAGACTCCCTAGAGTCGAGCAGGAGTCAGAGGCAGGAGAGCAGAGAGAAGAGAGTCTCACTAACCGAGAGCCACAATCAAAGGACTCAGTATAAAACCAGATTCATCTATTGAAGGATAGGAGAAGCACCTCTGTCCAGGTTGGCTTGATAATATTTATTTAACTTCAACAGCCATCTCTCAAAGCTATTTTTGGATTCTCATGAGATTGCTTTAAAATAAAACCTCTTTCAAGTGTCGTATTCAAATGTATTGCACCAAAGAGACTGCTCTGATTGCAAAGATGGCCTGTGTGCGACTTCACATACACACAAAAGCGCATACACTGAGCGCTCCCAAGTGAGCGGGCCCTTTTCCAGACTCCCACTTTGACGGCATCATTAGTCTAATTACCCATGATGCCAAGGGCTGCACTAATATACAGAAAACCTCACAGTCTGTTAATCACAAGACAGACACAGAGACACTAATAACTACCACACAACCTGAACCACGCATCAGCGGGGGAGAATGATTACCATACCTGCTTTACACAAAACACACACAAAAGACACAGTTTTACATTTCACAGCAGAGAAGCATGTTGGCTTCTAGTTGTCATCACTTCTGCAGAAACACGGGCCGCTTGAGAATGAAAGAGACATGCAAAGGTCTCACATCAACCGGTTAACAGTCTAAGGAAGGATTGTTTTAAAATCGGCACAGTGTAATCAACAAGTATGACATTTGAATGATAATGCGGGTTTCTTAAAAAATACAATTTCCAACTTCCCTATCCTCCAGCTCAATACATTTAGTTACAACTGAAGACTGCTAGCCTTTTTTTTAAGGTGCCGTCATCTTTTGAAACAGCTTACCGTAGTTTTAAACAAACATAACTCAAACAGGAAGAAACTGTTAATTTGTCTATGACATCAAGTCCCAGATTAATTCAAATGAGGCGTTCAGGTTTTTGGGGAAGCAAGAGTGTATGTGTGATAAGTCAAAATAAACTACAGAGCCCACGTTTATCCAGTAATATTGTGCTACACAGTCATCGTAGCTCTTGTACAACAGTAGGGCTGTATGACACAGAGGAATTAGCTACATCAGGCTTCGGCTATACCTATCTATTACTGCCACCAATTAATACTTATCCTTAAGGTATGGAAAAAAAGGCTGAATACAAATTAAAGTTTCATTAGAGAATCAGCCTAAGGACAAAATGCATTTGTATGAGGATTGGGGATAGGTTGTTCTCTGCAACAAATCACATTTTACAATGACGAAAGGAAAAAATAAATCAGACCTTTGACCTTGGCAGGTGTGATACTAGTTCATATCAAACCGACTAGCTGGCAGCTTAAGTAACAGCAGCCACCGCAGGCATGTTATTGCAGCCAGAATCAAAAACATACAAGAAGTTCTGCAGACACAAGCATAATCCACCAGTTTGTCCTCAAACAATGGCACACTCATCCCACTGCAATGGAAACCTTGTTTTGTTTGTTTTTAACCAACATTGCAGCTACAGTAAACTGGCGACGCAGGCTATCAGATCAGTTTGAAAAGTGTAGCTGGAAGAAAAAAAAATCTGCAACGGTCTCTTGAGCGTATCTCAAATTAGCCTTGTTGCAGGAAGTGTTTCACCTTGTGCCATCTGTGCATAAACCACAGTCACAGTATCTCTCTTAGCACAGCAAACTTAAAATGGGGCTCTTTTGCATTTACAGGAACAGTCCAAATAGAATGCTCAAGATCACACACACACAAAGCATTATCTTAGTTGAGTGACTTCTGAAGTAGACTTAGGCGCCGTTTACACGAGGAGAAAACTGCTTGTATCTGCATAGTTTCGCGTGCGTATAGCCCTATTATTTACACGAGGCCGATAGAAACTGACTCCACAAACGATAACGGGTCCCAAGGTGGATAGATTTGCAAACGAAACGCTCTGGGGGGTCAACCGAGTCCGTGTAATCACCTCTATACGAATATTTCCTGAAAAAATAACGATAGCCCCACCTAGCCCCACCTCTCCCTACCTCTCCTGCTCACTGCTGTAGCAACTATCAAAAATAGCTGTGTTAATTAAACGCACAAGGGGTTCTTGAATGAAATAATATTATAAAAGGCAAACCAGAATTGTTAACGCCCAATTTACTCCTTAAACAAAATAAACAGAGTCAGATTTCATGCATTGATCCATTATATTGACAATTTTCCAGCCAAACAACACAAACAAAATTAAAAAGTCCGCTCTGCGATACACCAAACTTGTCTTTACTGCCTAATCCAGGCCATTATTGTTCATTGCTCCTGCGCCCGTCGGCGGCAAAAAGAGAAATGTTTATAATCCACACAAAAAAAGGAAACACGAGGACCGGCGTGTCCCAGAGGAGCGATCTCACCCGGTGTTTGTAGAGAATATCTCTCTTTCTGAGCCGTCCTCTCCACAGAGACGTGCTTCTTGGTCGGTCGATGCAATATCCACAGATTCGGTTTCTTTCAGTTAACTTCCCCGTTGCATTTATCCATATGCTGAGGAAATGACTATATCCCGCTGAATACCAGCAATCACCACACACACTTCCTCCTGTCAGTAGCTACTGCTAGTGCTACTGCTACTGACCATGCTACAGATATTAGTGCAAAATCTACAGCTCCTCTACCACAACCATCAGCAACAAGTGGACATGGAGAATTACATGAACTACATGTTGCTAAATCCACCGCGGGGCATAAACAGAAGGGTAGCCATGGCAACATTGCTGCGGGGCTGCTCCAGGCTGCTCTTCTTCGCTGCTTTTGGTGTATTTTGGCGGAAGTTACAGCGCCACTTACAGTCCCGGCATATGTACTACAGCGTTTCCAGCGGTCTCGTTTGAACAGACACATTAAATGAAACGAATGCATGTGAACGGAAGACTTTTTTGAATACGCATACTGTGCATAAACGCAAACGTTCCCGTGTGAAGGAGGCCTTAGGTTTAGATTAAAGCGATAAAGTTTCCAGTATCAACTCAAACACATGTCTGAGTTTTGATTTAGCATTTATTTAATAGCAACCAACAAACCATTCAAAATGGATTTGAAAGACAAGGTGGAAGTTTAAAAATGGACCTACTTGCAAGGAGCAGACAGGAGAGGGCGATGACATAGAGCTGCTTGACGGCCACATCGTAGTGGTCCATGAACAGGTCCAGCAGGTAGACGGCTAGGTGTCGCGCTGTGGGACATAGCTGGTAGCGGTTACTCAGGATGGCCAACAGGTCTGCAAAGTACCGCCGCATACCAATCTGTGGAGAGTGGGCTCTGTAGACCGGTAGCTTCAGCTCCTGTAGAAGAAAAAGAAGAGAGATGAAGGGGGATGCAAACTATGGGGGGTGAGAGGAGCAGGGTGGGCAGGAGGAAGCGGTGGAGAGTCATGGGGGTTGTAAAGAATATGCATAATAGTGAGCTATGCATGTTCCCTGCTGACTGGGTTTAACTGCTGTGTGTAAAATACTCGAAGAATAAAACTCCATTAACCGTCAGATATTCTTGATTATGCTTCAGCCTCATTTAAATTCCATTTAATTCACCATTGCTGAAGAGAAGAGGAGCTAATTTGGGTCAGTTCAGGGGTCTGAGGGAGTGTGTGTGTGTCTGGTGTTTGTGTGTGAGGGAGGGGGGGCATGGTTTCTCCAGTAGAGGTTGAAGAGTAGATAGGATTAGGTTTCACCCCTAGCATATCTCCTATTCATGTTCAATTAGTTGCATGTGTTTCAAAGTGGAAGGAAGACACTCGGGGGCATTATCATTGAATCAGCCTCGGGTATCTTCACAATCAGCAACAGAAAACCGGAGAGCAAAAAGGCTCCAGTTTCTAAATCTGCCTCACAGTTAAAAACAATAAACATTAAGTAGTGGATGTACAAACTCCGAGGATATACTTTCTTTAATTTAAGCTGCTTACATAAAAAAATAAATAAAAAAAATGTTCTGTGACCCGTGTTAAAAAAAAGGGATTTGATTTTGATTTAATAAGAGATTGAGGATTGCCAGAATAATCTGCTTAGGTTCAAACAGTGAGGGGTCTTTCCACGAGGAGAAATGCAGAAAACATCCACATGATATCAGGACTGTTGTTTAGGAACATCCCTGACTGAAGGCTGTCATAAAAGCCCACAGCGCGGCTTTAAATCTTCATATTTCAAAAGAAAAACACGTTACAGTCAATACTTAAAATAATGCAATTTGCTGTGAGGCCTAAAATGTACCAACACTGTCAGGTTTGTGCAAAGTAAACTTATTTTGAACGTAACCGAAACAACAATGATCCTCAGACTGACAATTCAATTGAAATCTATAAATAAACAGTTCCCCCACCCAAATCCACATATAGCCACTCCACCCCCGGCATGTGCCACAAACACCCAGTCCTTCCCTAACTCTGCTCTCCTCCCACTGCTTCAGCCTCTGGTCCATCTGTCTGTCTGGGGGTACAAGGGCAGCAGGAGAATGGGGGGTGGATGTGAAGGGTGGGGGGGAGGGCTGCTGGAGTCTGGAGGGGCTCTGGGGGGCTCTGTGTGGGGTGGAGAAGGTGCCTTTGTGGGGGACCCGCACCATAATTAAGGATTCCACAGCTGCCTCCGTCTGATTTGCATGTCTGATAATTTGCCACATGCTATACACCACAGCTATCTCCCACATCAGGGCATTAGCACTGCAGCAAGCGTCATTAAGGCTGGGGGAGGCTGTGGGGGAGCAGGCGCCATGCAGGAAACCTGAACACTCTGGGAAGGCCTTTTTACACACAGCTCTCTCTACCATTTATTACCAGTGCACATTTTACTGAGCTTTCAGCTAACCAACGTCTGAACACATCCAGTCTTACAACTTACTGAACACTGTAAAGCATGCAAGCAATCTTGCCAATGTGGATATCTTAAAAACAGGAAAATATTAGGGCTGTAGCTGGAAAATAGGCGAGTTATTAAGAAAACCAGAACCCTGCAAACTTCTTTTATAATCAAATAAACCCAAATGAAAAACATTAAGAGACCAGGTTGACTTGAATTCATTAAGCCAGAAAAAAAATTGATAGTGAAACCTATACAAAACCAGGCTAACTTTTGTGTTCCACCAATAGATCAACATTCAAACACATTCAATTTATAGTCATGTATATGAGAGAAGTGCAGCAAATCTGCCCTTAAGAAGCAGAAATAAACATACCTACTGTTAGTCAAAACACAGACACAATTAGACATGTTGTCTTATACAGGTGATTTCGCAAAGCAATCAACTCTAATAGTTTAAGTCTCAAGCATTTCTCAATTCACCATGAAAGACGTTGCAGTATTTGCGAGGGTATTGCATTATACAGTATATACTGTGCTGAGCCTGTCGCTTGGGATTTCACTAAAATGCTGATATGGGGCAATCAAACCTAACATTAGATTAGACTGACACTCTCTCTCTCTCTCATTACAGAATGAGAAAAGAGTGGGTGTGTTGTTTAGTTTCCAGCTCTGTGTGCAGATTTTCAGTCTAATTGATGTCTCACTCTGAGTCAGAAGCCCAGCACGAGTAAACTGTGTGTATAAGAATGAATCATATATATGGCTCACAAACATCCTATCCACAATCTGATACAGCCCTACGCATAAATGCAATCTCTAGTACTTTCAGGCACCCGATATCTAAACCTGATCTGCAGTAATCTCCCTCAGCTTGAAGCTGGCAGCAGCGTGCCGGCTCAGAGATGCCAGTCGAGTGACAGATGTCTCCATTAATGTGACACATGGGAGAAATATGATCACGCTTGAGGTTAATTAAGACATTTTCAATTAATGAGCCTTAACTCCTCCATGTAATCTAATTTAGATCAGGTTTAAATAGACAACAGGACCACGTAATTATATTTCCTTCACACCTTTCAATATATTGTGCGGTTCATAAGTCTAGGATGCTGCTGCGGAACAGGCCGGCTGGCTCATACATGTTGGGCTATAAAACTATTATTTTCATCATCGAAGAAAAGTTAATTAGACTGATAATCTACACACAGAGCTAGAAGCTAGATTTATTCTTTCAATCAATAATATATTACTTAAGCTCTCTGGAAATTGTGAACATACAAGTACTCTCTTGATGTTGTTTTCATCAATTAGTTAAAAAAGGCTTGTAGTAATTTTCATTACTGATAAATCTACAGATACAATTCTTAATTAATCAAAAAATTGTTGAAAGAAATGTCATCACTGTCTGACAACAGTCAAAAACCTCAACTCAGAATATTTAATTTTTTAGGGAAAATATTCACATTTGAGTGAAGCTGTTAATGTTTACCCTTTGAAAAAATAAATGTACTTAAAACAAATAATTTGATTTTAATACTGATGCCGATTCAGTTGCTAAACGTTTAGCTTTAGTTATTCGTCTATTGTTTAAATGGAGATATAAATCCAATCCAATCAACTTTATTTCTATAGCACATTTAAAAAAAAAACAGAGTTGAACAAAGTGCTGTACATAAATAACTGTATAAAAACATAGCATAAATACATAAAGAACAGACAGGACATGAAACAAATGTAAAGCACGAGACAATGAAACCAGATCAGAAGCCACAGACTGAGAAACTCTCCTACATGACGTAAAAACAATACAAAACACTAGTAAGATAATAATCTAAATCTAAAAGCACAAGTACCTGGTCTGTAAATGCAAGGGAAAAGAAGTGGGTTTTTAAACGAGATTTAAAAACAGGCAGAGTTGGAGCAAGTCTAACCTGGAGGGGCAATTCGGTCCATAACTTTGGAGCTGCAACAGCAAAGGCTCTGTCTCCTCGCTGCTTTAACCTTGATTTAGGGACGACCAGAAGGAGTCTGTCAGCAGACCTCAGTGACCGTGTGGGTGTGTATGGTTTTAAAAGATCTGCCAGGTACGGTGGGGCTAAACCGTTTAGGGCTTTGTATGCAAACAATAACATTTTAAATTGTATTCTAAAATTGACTGGTAGCCGATGTAGAGGCGAGTACAGGCGTAATATGTTCACGCCTGCCTGTCCTTGTAAGGAGGCGTGCAGCAGCATTCTGGACCAGCTGTAGGCGAGACAGGGAAGCCTGGCTTACTCCAATGTACAGAGCATTGCAGTAATCCAGTTTAGTGGATATAAAACAATGTATTACTTTCTCAAAGTCATTAAGAGAAAGGAAAGGCTTGACCTTTGCTAAAATTCTTAGCTGAAAAAAGCTGGATTTTACCACAGAATTGATCTGTTTGTCTAGTTTAAAATCATGATTTGTTACAATGGGTTTCACATATGAGACAAGAGAATCTAGCACAGACGGGGCATTGGGGCCACCACTGGGTCCAAACATTATCACCTCGGTCTTTTTTTCATTGAATTTTAAAAAGTTCAAGGCCATCCAGGCCTGCAGACAATCGGACAGACGTTGCAGAGGGTTTGGGTCATTTATTTTCAGGGGCATGTAGATTTGCGAGTCATCTGCATAAAAATGAAATGAGACGCCATATTTTTTTAATGATAGCGCCCAGGGGGAGCAGGTACAGGGAAAATAAAATCGGCCCAAGAATGGAGCCTTGGGGTACCCCGTACGGGAGAGGAGCAGAGGAGGAAGTAAATTCATCAAGGTTTACATTAAAACTTCTTTCAGACAGATACGACTTAAACCAGTCTAGAGCAGTACCACTGATTCCCACAGAATGCTGCAGGCGAAAAATGAGAATGCTGTGATCTACAGTGTCGAGGCAGCTGTAAGGTCTAAAAGTATAAGAACAGCACTGTTCCCAGAGTCAGTAGCTAAAAACAAGTCATTACAAACTTTTAAAAGAGCAGATTCAGTGCTGTGGAGGGGTTTAAACCCAGACTGGAATACCTCAAGAATGCCATGCAACTGATTCAGCACCACTTTTTCTAGAATTTTGGACATAAAAGGAAGTTTAGAGATAGGTCGAAAATTGTCAAAAACAGAGGTGTACAAAACACTGTTATCCTCAGGTTTATGAAGATGAAAAAAGCTACAGACTAAATGGGATTACTGGATGTAAAAGGTTAGCTTTGTTAAACACAATAAACACACGTTTGGCTCCTTCTGTCAACAAAACAAGTCAAAAACGTAGTGCTCAATAATAATAGACTCACCTTGATGCGGAGCGATTGATGGATATCTGCAGCTAGCTGTCCTTTCCACCATTGCAACTCTCTCTCCATCTTTCCCATCCAGAGGACACTTCAAGAATCAAGTTTAACCTGCTGAGACAAACGTGTAAACAAATAAAAGTTGTGTGCTGGGCTGAGAGTGGCAAGAATAAAAATATATATGCTTTCTAACTGTATAGCCTATATACTAAGAAAACCATCAGACACATGAGAGGAAAGTTTAAAGTTATTCTA